GGGGACTCAAGAACAACAAAACGAGGCAGGGAGCTGCAAGAGACCCTCGACGGGACCGACCTCTCCGTCGCTAACACCGGCGAGGCGACGTTCCTGCGAACGGGCGTGGAGGGGAGCGTGATAGACTTGACGATGGCGTCGGCAGTGCTTCACCTCTGCGCCAAACCGCAGCCAGATGGCTGGGGATCTGACCACGCGCCCATCATCGTGGGAAGGCCCCCCAAGCCGCCCTCCAAGACATGTCGGGTCGTCGACTGGACGAAGTACCGGGCCGATGTCGCAGCCCTCCAAGCCCAAGGACGTGTCCTCGATGCCCAGACCATCGCGGAGGCGCTCTGCGCGGCCACGAGGACGGTACAGGTGCCGACCACCAGACCCAATCCAGACTTTCAGTGGCTCCTACTGCGAGCCCAGCGACGACGCGCGCAACGGAGGGCAAGGCGGACAAGGCTACCCGAGGACAAGGCGGCATTCCGACGCTCTGACGCCCTCTTCAAGCGGCACGGACGGCGGCTGGCGAGGGAACAGTGGGCGCTCAAGTGCGAGTCCCTCGACGGACGAGGGGGCACTGCGAGCGCCTGGCGGATGGCGAGGACGCTGGCCAACCGACCCCGCCCGCGTCACCCCATCGTCACACTGGCCATCCGGCTGCACATTCCGACACAGGACGCCGTCGAAATGGCGGCCGACGCGCTCCTCGCCCCGCCCCCCCTGCCGCCGAGCCCCGCCAAGCGCCCACGCCAGTGGTCACGCTTTGCCCCCCCGACAGCGGACGAGATGGTCGGAGGCCAAGGGGACCTGCAGATGTACGAGCTGCGACGCGCCATCGCAGCCCTGCCCCGCAGGCGCTCCGCCCCCGGCCCGGACGGCGTCACCAATGCAGCCCTGAGGAACCTGGACGAGAGCGCCCATCCAGACCTCCTGGCCCACCTCAACGAGGCCTGGCGATCCGCGGTCCTCCCCCCGGAGTGGAGGACAGCGACCGTCGTCCCGGTGCTGAAGCCGGGCAAGCCGGCGGACCAGCTGAGCTCCTACCGCCCGATCGCACTCACCTCGTGCGTCGGGAAACTCCTCGAGAGGATTGTGATGTGCAGACTGGTGCACCACCTCGAGACGGTGGGAGCCCTGCCGGACTGCTACGCCGGCTTTCGGCGGGGGAGGTGCACGGCGGACGCGATCGCGGACCTCGCCACGACCCTTGAGGACGGCAAAGCAAGGAGGAGGACCACGGGGGTGGTCTTCCTCGACATCGCCAGCGCTTTTGACGGAGTGCTCCACAGCGCCATCGTAGACTCCCTCACACGACTTGGCGTGCGGGGGAGAGCACTCCGCTACGTCCGAGCGTTTCTTCAGGGGCGCGAGGCCAGGCTTCGGGCGTCGGGCCTCTACAGCGCACCGCGGACGCTCACGAGAGGGGTGCCGCAGGGAAGCGTGCTGAGCCAATACCACCTAGAATACAAGGCCTGCGCGTTTCCTCCTCTAAACGTCATCACTAGTAGATCCCCTCAGCGCCCCCTAGCTAGCCCGGATGAGCAACATCGTCTGCTACATCGTCTGCTCCATCACCTGCTTCGGTGGTTTGTGTAACAGATAATGAAACAGATGCTCACGAAGAGTGTCTCTTGGAAATAGCATACGATGAAGTTAGTCGTTCACGTGGAGCGTCAAATGCATGAGCGAAATTGCCTTACTGCTGCGCGAAGGGCTGAAAAGCCCTTCATTGGACGCTGGACGCTAACACTGGACGCCATTTTCGAAGGCGCTGTTTATACCCCGGGTAGCTGCTTCGAAACGATCTACCGCAGAACGAGCGCGCGCGCTAGAAATGCGCGTCTCAAAGCCAGGAACCCGTGCTAGCTCGCGCTCCTGGCCGAGGGAGCGTTCGCGTGCACGTCGCAAATGCACTGGAAGCTCGCTATCAGCTCGCGCTCAGCAGTCACGCTCACAGCTGCGGCCGCAAGTGAATGTGACGTAGTTGCGACGCGGCCCCTACTCTCGTCAAGCTTCGGGGTGTTTGCCGCTTGGGGCGGGTCGGGGATCTACTAACGAAACGTCATGCGCAGGCCTTGTCTTCTAGGTGGTATTGGCTGAGCCCGCTCCTCTTCAGCGTGGCTCTCGCAGCGCTCCCTCACGCGGCGCGGGTCGGGCCGCGATACAAGGTGCCCTTGCAGATCGCGACCTACGCGGATGACGTCGCGATCTGGGTCAGCGACCACGGTGGGCGGAGACGGTTCGTCCAAGACAAGCTCCAGCGCGCCCTCACTAACATGGAGTACTACCTGGCCACGCTCGGCCTGACGCTCTCGGCCCCTAAATCCGTGGCGCTTTACAACGGCCCACATCGAACGTTCGACCTCACCCTCTCCATCAATGGCCGACCGCTGGAGTTGCGGAGAGAGGCCACGTACCTGGGGCTAAGAGTGGACGACCGGGTGACCTGGGAGCCAGCGGTGAGGGACGCGCTACGAGCGGCACGGACCACCACCAACATCCTTCGCCTCCTTGGAGGAGCCCGCAGGGGCACAGAACAGCGAATGATGCTGCAGCTGTACCGCGGCCTTACCCTGGCCCGGGTCCTGTACGCGCTGCCCCTGCTCGCTCTCACCGAGCACCAGTGGGGGCGCATCGAGCAGGCGCAGCGCGTGGCACTACGAGTGTGCCTCGGTGTCCCGAGACACGCCTCATCGAGGCTGACGCTGGCTGAGGCCGGGGTAAACACAGTCCGGAACACGGCGGGCGAGCGGGCACTGCGGCACCTCATCAGGATGCAAGAAACTCCGAGCGCCGCATCCCTCGTCGCACGCATCAGCGGGCGGCGGGCACAGCTCGCCGACACCTTGACGCGGCCGCGGGACATCGCGGGCGCTCCAGTCCGCTACACGGCACCTCCTCCGCCGAATGAACCGCCAGTCGTGGTTGCTGAGCTGTTGGTGAGCAACCTGAGTGCCAAGAGGAACGTCCAGCCAACAGTGGCACGCCAGCTCACAGAACATCACTGTGACGAGCGCTACCACGGCTGGGCACGCCTCTACACTGACGGCTCGGTGCGTGACTCCACCAGGACGGCGACAGCAGCGGCGTTCCGCGAGGACACAGGGAGGACCGCTGCGGAGCGCCTGACGTTCCATGCCTCATCGACCACGGCAGAACTCGCGGCGCTGCAGCTTGGCCTGCGACTCCTCGACGAGAACGAGCCGGCTCGGGTCGTCGTACTGGCGGACTCGAGGGCGGCGCTGGGCCTCCTCCGCTCCCCGGACCGTTCACCACAGCTGGCCAGGGAGGTGGTGGCGCGCGTGGGCGAGCTTCAGGTCAAGGGCTGGACCATCGCCTTCCAGTGGCTACCGTCACACTGCGGGACGTCCGGCAACGAGAGGGCGGACCAACTGGCTGCCTGGGCCCACGACGACCCTGGATGCCCCCTCTCGCCAGTCCCGCCGTTCGCGGACGCACGTCTGCTTGTGCGGCGGCGAGTCGCGCTGAGCCACCCCGAGCTCGAGCGCGGGCCGCTTCCTCCCAGGCTCCCCAGGCGGCTGACGAGGGGCGTGGCGGCCGTCCTGCACCGCCTGCGTACCGGCTCCAGCTTCACACCCGCCGGGCGCGCGAGGTGGAGGACCGACCACGATGACAGCTGCGGGCACTGCGGCGCCCACGGAGACGCAGAGCACCTGATGTGCCATTGCCCGCGCTTCTCAGACGCGCGGGCGAACTTGGGGCACGCATACGGTGCCCTCGGCTGCCCCAGCGGCACTCTGGACGAGTTGCTGCGACCCGGGCTGCCCCGGGCAGGGACAGAGCGGGCGTTCCGTGCGCTGGCCACCTACTTGGTCAGCACCGGCCTCACAGACGTTATGTGAACGCCCAGGGCTGCCCACAATCTACGAACACTAGGACGACATCACAGCGCCGCCCGCCGCGCCACGGCGTGTCGATAACAAGCGACCGGTTTTTTTTTTATTTATTTATTTTTCTCCCTCTTTTTTTTTTTCTTACCTATACTCCCAACCCCCCTTCCCCCAATCGGCTGTGACATGCAGGCATCCTGCCAGCAAAAACGGTCCGTTTTCTGGAGAAAAAAAATAAAGCACTCAACTCAACTCAGCGCACGCTAAAGCCTTGCGTACGCAAAGAATAGCGTCGTCGCCACTGCGCATGCTCCGAACGCAAACCAGGTTTTGCGCTTTGCGTGCGCAATTTTAGCGTGCGCTATTTCTCGGAATTAGCGTGCGTACGCAAAGAGTCTTTGCGCTTCTCCAAGGAGGATTCGTGATGAGAAGTTGACTAAAGCCAAGACGAGCAGAGTTAAAAAAATGGCGGCTTCCAGGGTTATGTCGGCGGCTGCTTTGGCGGCGTCGTGAGTGCGACGTCGGAGGCATCCTCGCGACTGCGATTTTCAATACGCGACGACATTGTACTCGGTTTGGCAACGATCACCGGCAACTTGATGCTTGCGACGCGCGAACATTTCACGGCGAAGGTACGATGTGCGAAGGTCAGTACACGAGACCTCTCTTGCCGAGGCGACGCAAGCGGACACGACCTGTCAACCGCTCGCGTCGCATTCTCATGTTTAAACAAATCTAAATTAATACTCTGAACCAAAAAAACTTGTTTTTTTCTAAAGTTTCAGCATTTCGTGTGTGAAATAAAAATTGTGACTGTATCTCGGTGTCGTCGCAAGCGCGAGATGGTTGGGCTTTTGCGTCGCGACGGAGAAACGCTATTCTAAAACTCTCACGCGTCGCGTGCGCTAATACTAGCGCTAAATTTAGCGCTAGCGTGCGCTAAAATTGCGTACGTTATTCTAAAACTCCCTAATCCGCTCTCTAATCGAATCAATAAACATTGTTTTCTGACATGGTGACAGAAGCGGGATCTACCAAGAAGAAGAAAGAAGAACCTCAGCAGAAACGATACAGCCACCGATTCGAGCGACGGAGCGAAGAAGACGCCGTTAAAACAAGACAAACAAGCCGACACACGTGAGCGCCGATTCCGAAACTATGAAAGGTAGTCTAAAGACCCCGAGGCCTCTTGATCTGTCGTCGCAGTCGCCAGAGGCCTGGGACGACTGGCTTCAGAGCTATGAATGGTACGCAACAGCGATCCAGTTACAGAAGAAACCTCCCGAAGTTCAAGTAGCGAACTTCATGACTGTCATCGGCCCAGACGCACAGAACCTGTTCCGAACGCTCGCACTGAGCGAAGACGACAAGAAAAACCTGGACATCGTAAAGCAACGGTTCAAAGAGCACTTCCACCCGAAGGTCAACCATGCCTACGAACGGTACAGGTTCAATCAAATGAAGCAGAAAGAGGGCGAGACTTTCAACGAGTTTCTGACGGCCGCAAGACTACAAGCAAAGAAATGCAAGTTCGGTGAGCTGACTGACGAACTACTACGCGATCGCATTGTCGTTGGCATCACCAACGACGATGTCAGAGAAAGACTGCTAAGCGACCCGACTGTCGACCTGCAGAAAGCCGTGAATCTCTGCAAGGCGAGCGAACAGGCGTCACAGCAGCTCAAAGAAATCGCAAACAAAGAAACGAGGACTGTCGACGCCGTCACGAAGAAGACAAAGCAGCTACCGAGAAAGAACACTGTCGCGGAGACAAAAGAGCAAGCGCCGGCGAATTCGGGAATGGCAAGAAAAACATGCAGCTTCTGTGGAGTATTTCACAGACCAAAAGAATGTCCAGCGTATTGCAAGACGTGTAACAAGTGCCAAAAGAAAGGACACTTTGCTGCAGTGTGCCGATCAAGCAGAAGTATGGTGCAACACAAGGTCCATGCCATCGACAACCACGAAGACCCTGAAGAAGAAATGTATGTGTCGGAGCTGAGAACCAAGACAAGCAAGACAGTGTGGCAAGGAGAAATCCAGTTCAAGTGTGGAACTAAAGTTGTCATGAAACTGGACACAGGAGCGCAATGCAATGTCCTTCCAAACAAGAATGTCCAAGCCATGAGACTACAAGCGTTCCCTTCGCCAGTCAAAAGAATCGCAACATACAGCAATCACAAGATGCAAGTGATCGGTGAGGTGAGAGAAACATGCACTGTCCGTGATGAGCCGGCGAAACTGAAATTCCTCGTTGGGAACTCTGACGTGACACCAGTTCTGGGTCAGAACGCATGCAAGCTCCTCAACCTCGTTAAGAGAGTGCACACAGTCCAAGCAACGCAAGAAGATGACGAAATGTTTCAAGGCATCGGTTGCATCAAGAACTTTGTCTATGATGCCGATGCCAAAGAGGAAGCAAGCAAGAAGCTGGAAAACAAGCCACGAAGAAGGGTCCCATATGCGCTTATGGATGAAGTCAAGCAAAAGCTCACGAGCACGGAACAGAAAGGAATCGTCGAAAAAATCACAGAACCAACTCCATTCTGCAGTGAAATGGTTGTTGTGAAGCAGCGAGGAAAGATCAGGATCTGCATCGATCCAGTGGAACTGAACAAAGTTCTCATAAGACGAAACTATCCTCTCAAGACTTTGGAAGAAATTGTTGCGCATATCAGAGGATCCAAGCGGTTCACTCCGCTAGACCTCAAGAAAGGATTTTGGCAAATGCAAGTGTCAGAGCGCACCAAAAAGTATCTAGCCTTCAGCACTCCGTGGGGCAGGTACTGCTTTAAGAGAGTTCCATTTGGCATAGCCACAGCACCGGAAGTTTTTCAATAAGTCATCAGCAGAATCCTGGAAGGGATTCCGAACGCCGTTAACTCCATGGACGACATCCTGGTGTATGCCGAAACGAGCGAACAGCTGCAAGAAACTACAAAGGAGGTCATAGATGCTCTGAAAGAGGCTGGCACTAAACTCAACGAAGACAAGTGTGTCTTTGACAAGCCTGCAGTCAAGTTTCTTGGTCACAAAATCACTGCAGAAGGACTCAAGATGGACCAAGAAAAGGTAGCCGCCATCGACCAGTTAAATGAACCAAAGAACAAGACCGAGCTACAGAGACTGCTAGGGATGGTCCAGTATCTCCAGAAGTTCGTGCCCAACCTTGCGGACAAGACTGCACCACTGAGAAACCTCATCACCAAGGACACTGAGTGCCTGTGGACAGAGGAACAGAGCAAGGCACTGATCGAAATCAAGCAAGCGCTGAAGAGTGCACCAACACTCACATACTACAACGTTAATGGTGCTATGACCCTTTCAGTGGACGCAAGCTCAAAAGTCCTAGGAGCTGTTCTCCTGCAAGAAGGAAAGCCTGTTGCCTACGCCTCAGCAGCAATGACGGAAGCACAACAGAACTACCCTCAGATCGAGAAGGAGGCACTAGCGATCCGATACGGCTGCCGGAAATTTCACCAGTATATCTATGGAAGACCTCTAACCATCGAGACTGACCACAAGCCGATCGAAAGCATCGCAAAGAAGCCGCTGAGCAAAGCCCCTCCTCGACTACAAAGACTTCTCTTTGACGTACAGCAGTACGCACCAACAATCGTCTACAAGAAAGGAACAGAACTCGTGATCGCAGATCTACTGAGCAGAGACTGCATCAAGAACGAGTAGGCAGGTCCATATACAGATGACATACAAGTGATGGCAATTGTACCCATGTCACCTGAAACAATGGAAGAACTAAAGAGGGACATTGCCCAAGACAAAGAAATCCAAGAAGTGATCCAAGCCACGAAAGAAGGATGGCCAATCACCACAAGAGGGCTCAGTGACCCAATGAAGCTGTATTGGTCATTTAGAGATTAACTCGCTGTGGATGAAGACATGTTGTTCAGAAGCGATCGGATAGTCATTCCGAAGACTTGGAGAAACAGACTGCTCGTCCAGATCCACGCGGGACACTTAGGCATAAACAGCTGTCTAAAGAGAGCCCGCGAGACTGTATACTGGCCAGGGCTAACGACAGACATCAAATGCTACGTGGAAAGATGTGCCACATGCCAAGCAACTGACAAGAAACCAGCGAGAGAGCCACTTCATCTCAAAGAAATACCAGACCTCCCGTGGGAAAGAGTATCATCAGATCCCTTCAACTTCGAAGGAAAATCCTACGTTGTCATTGTCGACAGCTACTCTGGATTCCTAGACTTCAAGAAGCTCTCAGGAGAATCGTCAAAAGAAGTTGTAAACGTCATGAAAGAGTGGCTAGCAACTCATGGCGTCCCCAAAGTGATTGAAACACACAACGGTCCCTGCTACGCAGCACAAGAATTCAAGAACTTTAGCAGAGTCTGGGGCTTCCAACACGTGCCTTCAAGTCCGAGGTATGCACAGTCAAACGGTCTTGCTGAACGAGCCGCTCAGACTGCAAAAGGGATTCTCCGAAAATGCTTTCTGGTTGGAAGCGACATACAAATGGCCCTCCTCAGTTTCAGAAACACGCCAAGGAGTGAAGAACTGGGTTCACCTGCACATAGACTGTACAGCAGGAGGACAAGAACTCCAGTTCCCACACACAAGCTACAAAAGCCCGAAATAATCCAAAGCGTGCCGGACAAGTTGCGTCACGAGCGCAACCAGCAGAAGACTTACGCTGACCAGCACTCCAAACGAGCCCCTGCCATGGCCCCAGGCGATAAAGTCAAAGTTTGGGAAGAAAACAGGAGATGAGTTCCTGGAACTGTCGTACGTCTTTCGGAAGAACCTCGGTCTGTGATAGTACAGACGCCAAAGGGACAGTACCGTCGCAATACGTCCTTTGTTTGTCCGACTAAGACTGAGCTACACCACGCTGCAAAAACTCATACTACCAGCATCGAGCCATATGCGCCACAGCCTGTGACCGACAGCCGAGTGTGCCCCAGCCCCCAGCGAGAGAACCCGGCAGACTCAACCACCGTTACCAAATCAGGTCGCATAATCAAACCAGTCGTCAGGCTTGATCTCTAAAGAAAAAAAGGGAGATGTCAAGGAAGCCAAGCCAAGCAAAAGACACTGGACTGTCGAGAAAGCCAAGCAGAGCAAAAGCCACAGACGCAGAGATCCAGCCATAGCGTAGCCAGCGTAGCATCATATAATCCGCTCTCTAATCGAATCAATAAACATCGTTTTCTGACAGGCAGTATAGGGTATTCACTGGACGCCATATTTGAGGGCGATATCTAGAGAGCATGCTCGGAAAGAGCTCACATTAATAGGCTGATAAGACCGGCAATCTTGATGGTGCAAAGTGCAAGTATTACAGCTATGGCCGCCAATGATTACTCCCCATAACACGTTCCAGGTAGTAAATAATCATAATAAAACGTTGATGAGTTCTTGTCCAAAGTGCCATTTGTATTAGGTTTCTGCTTTAGCTCAAGTGTGTGCGATTCGTGACGGCTTTGCATATCTTCACCTAATTTCCAGTGTTTCACCAAAATGACAAAAAAAAAAGTTGCTTTCACGCAAGAAAGGGTAAGGGGTAGAATGGGAGGAGAGGGAGTGGAATCAGGGGCGCCTTGGCACGGCCCAAAAGTGGTGTAAGGCCGTGTGAAAACCATATAAATGCATTCCATCAAATTATAGCAAACATCAAATATTGTTTTCATTGGAGACCCCTGTTTTTCCCTGAAGAACTATTTAGACAATTTTCCTGTTTTGAAAAATGAGTCACGCAAGCGTAGTTTAAATTTTTGTTACAGACGAAAGCTTATGTAATACTGCAAAATCGATTATATTTACCGGAGAGGTGCACCTTTAGCCCATGGCCCCGCGTATAAGCCGCAAAAAATTGCTGGCACTGCGTTGTGATATTGTGTAATATTTATATATATATATACGTATATGTATGTACGTGTGCTGCATTGTATAGTAGAATTTGTGCCAACCTCCGCAGATAACATAAGCAAATATTTCTTAATTGACTGAAATACATGTCATCTTCACGTTTCCAGAAAGCGTGGGAGGGTTGTAAGTTCTCTTTAGATGCGTTGGTTTTTGGGTGAAAATGAGTGCATGCTCTTGACATAGAGCGTAGCGTACGCTACGGGTGATCCCAGTCAATCCAGCTGCGGTCCATCGCAAGGTCAAACGAAGTAGACTAATTTTGAGACGACGGACATCTCGCTTTGTTCAGCTAGCCGGCGGTTGGACAAGAGTCAGAAGTGGGTATATATATATATATATATATATATATATATATATATATATATATATATATATATATATATATATATATATATATATATATATATATATATATTGCCGCGCCCAGGGCTGAGAAAGCAACGCTCGGTCACGGACCTCCAGAAAGTTCTCGTTTATTCATGTACCGCATGTAACTTCTATCATTTATTCCTGCTTTTGTTTTCTAGAAAGTGCGTGTTCATTCTCGCCCGATCACGCGACGCTCGAGCCGCTTTCGCCGAATCTTCGAGATAGCGACGCACTCTAGATAAGAGGCCGCCCGCGACCTTGTCGAGTCAGTCTCGCCCCAGCGCTCGATTCTGCTGACACGCCGACTTCGACGCCCGCGACGCTCTGCTTTCTTCTGTTTCCTTCTTTATTTTTGGCACAAGTTCGCCACATTAAACGTTTATTTATTTCTGTTTATTTCTTGTTTATTGGTCACGACTCACCACCCGTGACATTCTGGTGGAGGTGCGGGGTACCGCATGTCCGTGCAGCGCAGCCCTCCGAGTTCCCGCAGTACAAGTCCAAACCCCAGCTCCGGAGGACCCGACGAAGTCCAGATCGAGACCCGGTCAAGTCGCCGCATCCGAGGTCTACCCTTGGAACACGGACCTCTGCCACCCACGACCAAGCCGAAGACGACGATGGCCAACCAGGCGCAGACCCCGGCCGCTTCTGCCGTTGTGTACCTGCCGATCGCACCCAGGACTCCAACGCCTTTCCATGGAGACGTCCACGAGGACGTTGAAGACTGGCTGCAACACTACGAACGTGTAGCCCGCCACAACGGATGGACGACTGAACAATACCTCCACAATCTCTACTTCGCGCTTGAAGGAACTGCGAGGCATTGGTTTGAAAACCACGAAGCGTCCTTCACTACGTGGGAGTCCTGCGCCGCGGAGTTGAAGCGAACGTTCCTCAACCACCACCGTCGGCAGCGAGCGGAGGACCTTCTCCAAACAAGGGTGCAGGGCCCCAACGAAAGCGTGACCAGCTTCGTAGAGGATGTCATGCGCCTATGTGCCCGAGCCGATCCGGAGGCAGCCGATGAGAAGAAGCTCCGCGTCCTCATGCGTGGCGTGAAGGCTGAAATTTTTGGGGGCCTTGTCCGCCATCCCCCGACAACCGTCGACGGTTTTGTGGCTGAAGCCACTAACATCGAGCGAGCGCTGTCGGCCCGAGCAAGCCATTACCATCGACTCGCCGGCGTGCCTGCTCCTCGAACCGCCGCATCTTGCCGACTAGACCTGAACGCCACCGGTGTCGACGGCCTTCGGGAAATCGTCCGCGACATCGTCCGGGAGGAGCTCCGGAAGCTGCTGCCTGCTGCCAACTAGCCGGCTGAGCTGTCGATCGCCGAAGTGGTGCGCGAAGAAGTCCAGCGGGCAATTCAACCGGAGGCTCCTGCCTGCGTAGCACCACCCGAAGAGCCCGCCCTGACCTACGCCGCAGTGGCCCGACGGCCACCGCCTCCTCGCCGCACCTATGTCACGCCGCCCCGACGTCAGTCTCCTGCGCCGCAGCACGACCGACGCCACGACGACCAGGTCCAGTACGCCTGCCCGGAGCCTCGCGCACCCCGCAAGACTGACCTGTGGCGAACGCCCGACCGACGCCCTCTGTGCTTCCATTGCGGGGAAGCGGACCACACCTACCGCCGATGCCCATACCGACGACTCGGGCTACGCGGGTTCCACCCGAACGACCCGCGCCCCCGTCATGGTGAACGCCCTATCGAGATCGACGAGTACCTGCGACGACCTCAGTCCCCCGAGCCTGCGTCCCCCCGAGAGTTCCGCTCGCCGTCACCGCGACGTCCAGCTTCGCCGATGCACCGACCGCGACGTGAAAGCCTGTCCCCCCTCGCTCCTCGCCGGGGAAACTAGGCGCGGCAACCCCTGGAGGTGGAGTTGCCGAAGACGACCGACGCCAAGATCCTCCACGAACGTCGAAGGGCCCCCACTCGAACGCCACCAGAGACCAAAACGACGCCGCTGCAGTGGTGTCCAATACCCTAAACGTCGTCATCGACGGCCACGACGCATCCGCACTCGTGGACACCGGAGCAGAGTGGGAGGCTCTCCCGCCGCCTTCGAAAAGTCATGACGCCGTGGGATGGACCACGAATAAGAACCGCCGGAGGACACCTCATTACACCAGTCGGGAGATGCACCGCTCGCGTCGAGATTCACGGCGAAACATGCCCTGTGAAGTTCGTCGTTCTGCAAGACTGTTCGAGGGACGTCATTCTCGGAATGGACTTCCTGTGTGAATACGGCGCCATCATCGACCTTGCGGAGAACAAGCTGACGCTTCGGAAGCCTGCCCCATCGGTGGAAAATACCAAACCGACGTTAGCTGCAGTGCGAGTCCTCGCCAGCCACGTAAACCTGCCACCGCTGTCGAGTGTATTTGTGCCCGTCGGGACCGAAGGAGCCACCTGCGGTGTAGCACTGCTGGAAGGAAGCGTCCAACTTCTCCTCGGACGAGGGATTGGCATTGCAAGAGCCGTAACCGAGCTCCAGGACGGGCGTACAGTAGCCCTTGTCACCAATTTCCGGCAAGAGTCGCAGCACCTTACAAAGGGTACAACTGTGGGCTACGTCGAGGAAATTGAAGGCTCAGCCGCGATCGCCGTGATCTCAGAAGACGCCTCTCCGACGCAGAACAAGACAATCACGTCCTCAGAGCTCGACATCGACCCATCCCTCCCAGCCCCACAACGACGACAACTTCGTGACCTTCTCGCCGAGTTCAGTGAGTGCTTCTCCACGTCGTCGAAAGTGCGCCAAACGACGGTTGCGAAACATCGGATAATTACTGATGACGACGCACTCCCTGTGCATCGGCCGCCGTACAGGGTCTCCGTGAAAGAAAGGGAAGCCATCCAGCAGCAGGTACAAGAAATGCTTGACGACGACATTATCCAGCCCTCAAGCAGTCCGTGGGCTTCACCGGTAGTCCTGGTGAAAAAGAAAGACGGGACTCTTCGGTTCTGCGTGGACTATCGCCGACTGAACGCCGTAACAAAAAAGGACGTCTACCCACTGCCACGCATCGACGACACCCTGGACCGACTACGCCACGCCCGATACTTTTCGTCGATGGACTTGAAGAGCGGGTACTGGCAGATTGAGGTTGACGAACGAGATCGTGAGAAGACGGCCTTCGTCACGCCGGACGGACTGTATGAGTTTAAAGTAATGCCATTCGGGCTGTGCACAGCGCCGGCAACCTTCCAGCGCGTTATGGACACCGTCCTTGCCGGCTTGAAATGGCAAAGCTGTCTCGTCTACCTCGACGATGTTGTGGTCTTCGCAAGCGAATTCGACGAGCACCTGAGACGACTGCGAGCCGTTCTACAGGCCTTCAAAGCTGCTGGGCTGACCCTCAAGCCTTCCAAGTGTCGGTTCGCCTATGGTGAGCTCAAATTCGTGGGCCACGTCGTGAGTGCTCAGGGTGTAAGCCCTGATCCCGCCAAGACGTCCGCTGTC